AGGATGGTTTTTTTTTTTTTTTTTGGTACAAAGAAGGAGGCCAAGGCCTAATAGTTAATCAGGGACTTGTCGAAGGTAGCACACCCCGATGATATCGTGCTCGAGCCAGCAACCCAACCCAGGTGGCGGAGTAGACACCACCTCAAGTCTGATCGGAAAAGTTGTTGCCAAGCTAGCCATATGATCTGCCGCAAAGTTGGCTTCTCTGTGCACATGCCGAATCTGAATGGTCCAATCCCTTTGACTCACGTCGCGTATTGCCTTCACGATTGACTCGTGTGCCCCAAAATTATTTTCAGTTCCAAGGATCATGTTTACGGCGCATAGACTATCGACCTCCGCTATAACTTGGCGGTATCCTTTCTCCCAAGCCAGATGTAGTCCCTGATAAAGCCCCCATAGTTCAGTACCCGTAATAGTGCAATATCCAATATTCATGATAAATCCCGAAATCCACCCACCTGAAGAGTCTCTTAATAAACACTTCTTCATTCTTAATTGTACATTTTCTTTTATTTTTTCCAATTCTAGCAACCGAGTACTCGTACTAATTGTATATTTTATATTTTTGAGACATACTATGGTATACGCTATGTATAATTACAATTAAGCATTATGCGAAATTTTAAATAATATATATATACTAGTATAAATAATATAAAGATAATTATAAACATCTTAGGCGTATAAATAAATAAAGTTTGGTTACAGTGTATAAATCGTGTAACTGCTTGTCAAAATATTGGTTTGATATCGTCTAACAAATCTAAGTGTATTCTATATAATTTTCTCGTTAGACAAATAAAATTAATTAAATAAAAGTTTTCTATTTATTTACTTATAAACTAATTAAATTTTTAGTATTTATTATTAATAATATATGGTATATGTTTATTATGGAATGTATTATGGAGTCTTAGAGCATCTCCAATGCTCAATGTTGTAGTGGCAAATTACATTCCACATCGACACATTTATTAATATCACAACTTTCTATCCTCCAATGTACAATGTGATCACAAATATTGTGATGATGTGGACATAATTAATGTCTACAATGTAGAGAAGAATGTGGTTCATCCACATTCTCCTCTACGCTCTAGCCAGCCAAAGAAGAGAAGAGAGAGAATTAGTATTATCATTTTTAAACTATTTAATTGTGTAATTAATTTTATTAATTCCTATTAAAATTTTAATATTTGGTAAGTAGATAATATTGTAATTTGACTACATTGTGCATTGAAAATGATTTTTTAATTTAATAGTTGTGAACTCAGCATTTGTCATACATGGTTCACAATCTATTTAATTTTTTTACATTTGTCAAAATTTATCCTTCTACAATATTAGAGCATTGGAGATGCTCTTATTCCTGTAGGAAAACAATTACATAGTATATCTTATATATATTCACTCTATTTATGTCATTTGCGTAATAAGTTGGATTATATACCATAATAAGTTTTATCTCTTTTGTAGGATAAGGAATATGCGACAAGGACTACAAAAGGACGAACAACCCACACATAAAGGATCTTGGATGTTTTAGAGAAAATTTAAGAAGGATTTGAAAAGATTCACGATGGTTTATAGACGATCTAAGAATGATTTAGTAAGATTCACCGTACGATCTCTTAGATTTGAAAATTCTGCTATTTAAGAAAAGTCATGTCCATACACGATTTTAGAAACACCATTTCGAAGATATCCAAATCACATGCACGGATTCTACGTGAAGGAAACTTACTCTAAAAGAAGTATGCTGAAGATTATGACAACTTAAGATATCCTTATCTAGTTAAGATTTGTCTTTTCTTTATATACATTAGATCGCAAAATCCAGAGATAGGAGTTGAGTTTTATTGTTCTCTACTGAGCATATTGAGTTAGTTTATTCTCTTAGAGTCCATGAGATTGTTAATTATATTTTATAGTTTGTGAATTCAAAAATTTATTTTTTGTGTTCATGCATCTTTAAGGAACAGGAGATTAAAACCTTTGTACTTTTGGTTGCTAGTTTGGAGGAATTCCAATAGTAGCTAGTTTGGAGGAATTCCAATAGTGGCCGTATATCACATTGTAGTCAGAGAAGTAGTTAGTAGGATCAAGTACAGTTGTGGTAGGTTTATAAAAGTCTTTTATTTGTAATTCTAAACTATATACTACAGGAGACAATCTTTTTTCTAATGAAAGAATTCTGAAGGGTTGTGAGACTCTCGCCGAAGACAAACGCTTCCTCTTCTATTTTGCAGTTTTACATACATTGCGCACTCTACTCTCCCAACTCATCTTTTCGTTGTTATACTAGTTCATACAAGAATTTATGATGTCATTGTTATACATGGCATGACCTGAGTTATGGGACCAGAACCAAGAACATGTTTTGGGAACCATGCCAGCCTTTGAAATTGTTATCCTAAATTTGGTGCTTTTCTATGAGAATTTATAAAAAATATAAAATATATGCATATAATTTAAGGTAATTGATGACCCTTCTCCTATTTAAAGGTCACCTAATGGAGACTCAACAATGCTGCTCCTCCTTCCCAACTCTTCTTCAAAGACCCAATCTGGGTTTTTCCCATCTCACATTTTCTAACACTTTCCTATCTCTCTACCCTAACTTTTCTTTATCTTTTTTTGTTTTCTTCAAAATCCAAAATTTAAAAAATCTTATCTTGATTTATTGCAACATAGAATTTGATCCCACGAGCCATATGTATTATATTCCCAATTAGAATGAAGAAAGGGGTGGCAACACATACACTCTTCATATGCTTGCAAATCATCGCTATTATCAAGATTTCTCTTGTGTAATTTCCTTTATTTCTCTCTCTCTTCATATTTTTGTGAAATAAATTCATGGAGGCATATTTAATGCATGGGAGGAAATTCGATCAAAACCCATACTCATCCCATCACAAATCCCACATCATGACAGCAAAAAACCCTCCAAATACCCAGCCGCCGCCACCACCGTTGTTTTACCCGAGATTATTATTACCCTCCGATGACATTTTCTCGCCAAATTTCCAGCCGCCGGCACTCCTACAGACACTACCACAACCCCTTCTCCCGGTCCGCTCTTACCCTCCTCCGCAGCCGCCCCACATTTTCCCCGGCCGCCCTTACCCGCTCCGCCAGCCGCCCCTCCTCCCTCTCCCGGCCGCCGCCCTCCGCCGCAGCTCCTCCACCCCTCCGGCGGCCAATAGAAGCATCAACAGATCTCCGAACCCCAAAAAGGAAAAGAAAAAATTACCTAAAAAATCTCCCTCTCCTTGTTCCGGCACCGCCGCAAGACCCAGCCCGAATGGGCCGGCGTCGAGGGATTTCCGGGCCGGGGCGAAGGGCAATTTCGGTATTAACAAGAAGAACGCCGAGAACACAAATTGTAATCAGGTGGAAATATTTAGTCCGAGTTGCGTGGCGTCTCCGCCGCCGAGTAGCTTGCCTTTGCCGAGTTTTTGTCTGAGGCATAACAGTATGGTGATGGGCTGCAACGGCGTGAATGACGGCGGAGCAAGTGACAGTCTCAAACAGATTCTCAGGCTCAAGTAATAATAACTTTAAGGGTCGTTTTCTAATCTATCTAAATAAAGTAAAGGGCGGTTGTGGATAGCTTCAATTTTTCAAAGAAGCTCGAATAATTTGGATTTTAGGGGGTTGTTATTACAAATATTCCCCCGAGGGATTTGGTTAATTGTTATAAAGTTTTCGTGGTCTGTCTTTTTTCAGTTTAAATCTCTTGAAATTGTTGCGTAATTATCTGTTACGAAAATAAACTAGTCTTTTTCTCAGAGTACAGATATATATTTCTGAAAAAAAAAAAAACAAAAAACAAAACAAAACAAAACTAAAAACAAAACAAGACAAAAATGATCGAAAACTTTTATAATTTTCAAATCAATAATTACTGCACGATATAATTAATTAATTATACTTACCTTCTTCCTCTTTGGATGTAGACTAAAAGGCAAAAATTTAATTTTGGTTCTCTAAATTGGTTATTGTTCAGTTTTGGTACACCTATTTTCTTCTCGTAAAAAATAGTCTACTATATTACAATTTCGTCAATTTTAGTATAGTAATTCCGAGGGGCCAGATTACGTGATGACGTGAACAAGGATTGAAACGATCTGGATGGCTAGGATTTTGACATGATAGGATTACAATTTTCCACGTCATCACGTAATCCGGTCCCTCGAGATTACTGTACTAAAATTGATGAAAATTGTAACATAGTGAACTATTTTTTATGAAGGAAAAGTTGGTATAGCAAAACTGGACAATGACCAACTTAGAGGACCAAAATTGGATTTTTGCCTAGACTAAAAGGTAAAAAAGTTTATATTTTTTATTTTAAAATAAAAAAATATATATAATGTTAGATATTTATCTGTGAAAATTGCACCAAAACCTCCCTGTTATACGAAATGTGCGCATTACTACTCTATGTTTTAAAAATTGCGTGACACTCCCTTATATTTAATTAACCGATGCACATGTTTATTTTTTTAATTTTTTTTCAGTTAACGGTGTTAGTTTTATTGTGAAAACCCCGTTATAGCGTCTGAATTTTTTATATATTTTTACAATAAATTGAATTTATCACAATTTTTTTAAAATATCGCGAAAAATTGACTAAAAAACTTTACTGCCCATGGGGTTCAAATCTGGGACCTCAAAGGAGTGTGGAAGCTTTGCTACCACCACACCACTCCAAGTTGAATGTCAAATTTATGAACATTTAATATGTATATATTATAGACATTACATATGGATAAATCAAATTAAATTTAAAAGATAATGTATATTATAAATAATTAAATTAATAAACTGTAAACTTATAATACATCAAAACATATAAATCAAATCATACTCCCTCTGTTTCTTTATACATGTCGTTTTATTTTAAAATTTCTAAATTACGATTTCAATGGGTTGTGTACTTATCTTATGCTAATCTCCTTAAATTTAGTGTTTGAATTATTAAATAATGAGTAATGCTACATTGTCAACCTAGTATGCAACTAGGTTGACAACACAAGTGAAAAACATTCAAAAAAAAAAATACACAAGTGAATGTTTTCACTTGTGTTATGAACTTAGTTGTACGCTAGGTTAGTATAACATTTTTCTTAAATAATTACTCTCTCCATTTTCATTTGGATAAGTATTAAAAGTTCTGGCGGTGGCTTCAATTTATCTTCCATTTCTCAAAAATTTTTCACCTGGACACTCCAGAATCCAAATTTCAAATTTTGAGAAAGAACACAAAATTGAAAGAATAAATAAAATATTAACGACAACTAATTTGCAAAACAAAAGACAACCTACAACAACATGAATAAAGAAATGAATAAAGAAACAGAGGGAGTGAAAAATTAGACAAAAATAAAATAATTAAAATAACTTATAAATAATTATAAGACATTACAGTTAAAATAATATCATTTATTGTATTTTCATCTTTTTTATTTTTTATTAATTATTTTAAATTATATTATTTCACATTATTCTATTGTATCATTCATTTTATTTCATCTTATTTTATCTTAGTACAAATTTTATTTACTATTTTTAACTTACACAATGGGATGGAATAACTGACTATAGAGACTCTTTTAAAGCATGGTGGTACCAAGTGTGCTCTGTTGACCACTCAGAAGTTGCTGAAGCTCGAATACAACTCACTACATACATTCTTTGGTGGCTCTGGAAATCCAGAAATTTATGGAGCTTTCAAAACCGATTAATTGCAGCTCATGCTCTGCTCCAAATGGCGATGGCTGACTGGATGGATTTTTCTGCTGCGTAGTAGTTTGTTTTGGTGGCCTTTTATGTTTTTATTAGCCTGTTCTTTTGTGTTTTTGGTTTGTGTTCTGTATGTTGGTTCCGATTGTTGGTTTGCTTGTTTGGAATGACACCCTTACTAGGCTTTGTGGCAGTGGTGGGGTGTTATTCTTTGTTTCGTTCTTATTTCTCTTGCCATCTTTTTTTGAGGTTCTAGACCGCCTGCGTGCGTGTCTCTCATTTTTTCTTTTTCTTTGCCAGTGGTTGATCTGTTGTGTATTCGAACTTGGTTCGCTTTGAGCTCTTAATATAGTTATTTCTATCGTTTTGGGAAAAAAAAAAAAAGCATCAACATCCCATATTTTTTTCTTATATCATAACTTTAATAATAATTAAATATTAAATATCTCATATTTTTTTGCAAATCTCATCACTCATAAAAAATAAATATTATTTATAGTCGGTCAAATCAACTATGCCATATTCTTTTCTCATTTCATAACTGTAATAAAAACTAAATATTAAATATCCAATATTTTTTGCAAATCTCATTACCCTAAATATATATATATATGTATAATTGCTGGCTCATTAGTATTTAATAAAACTTATTAAATTATACCTATGTGGCAATATAGTTTTTTTCATCGAAAAATTGTTATTTCTTATTTATTTAACCTCTCATTTAATTATCTATATATATATATATATAATTACTAGCTAATAACATTTAATAAAACCTATTTAATTTTACCTATGTGGCAATTTAACAATTTTCCCTCCAAAAACCGTTACATTTTGATGTATTTAATCTTTCATTTAATCATTAAATAATTAATACTCATCACTTTAAAATTACAAAAATTATTTTAAACTTTTGATTAATGACAGTTGACCATATAATGTGTTGACCGTATAATGTGATTAGATGTTATCACTTCTCTTTTATTTTATTTTATTAATTCGTTTAGGTATGATATTATAAATATGATTGTGCTCAACAAATTTTACAAGACTATATATGGTCTAGAGGTTTAGTGGTCATCCTCATTGCCTTGGAACTTGGGTTTGATTCCTCCTCCTCATTAAATCTTAGTTTTGCAATAGGTATAACGGTAAATTAGTAATTATGCAAAATAAAAAATTAAATAATTATCGCAGGTATAGAAGGTGTTGTACATGTGTCTTTAAGTTAGACGTAAGGGGGAGACCATACACTAGTTCGCGCATTTTTTATAACACAATAGCAAAACGCGCAGATTTTATTAAACACATTGACGGTACATAATTTACCCATTTATCTATTCCAAAGTGGTAATTGCATTGGCTAATTGTATTGAAAACCAGAGGCGTAGCTAGCTGGCTCGTATAACCCGGTATAACTGGCGCTTGAGGCCTGACTATTGGATAGGCTAGTCTACCCCGACCTTAATTTATTTTTTCATCCAAATTTTTTTGGCGAATTTTCACCTTTGCCGTGTGATTTGATAATTATTGTAATTGTACCATGGGGAAAATATTAATTGCATCTTTACAAATTACATGTCATATAACATTAAAGATGCAAGATATAAGTTACCAAAACAAATGTATCACCTCCCTTGACTTGTGCAAGTATAAGATTTTCGATAAACATAAAAAATTCAAAAAAAATAAAAATACTTATATATGGTAAACTTATATATCCTACAAAATATGATGCTGTTTTGCTACAAAATAGAAAGAGAAGAAATTTGAACTTTAAGCTGCATCATCTTCCAAATATATACAAACCACCCGATTGATTAATATTATTTCATGTTGATGAACAAATTCTGAAAAATATACGAAATCAAACAAGTATTTTTTTCTCTTGTCGACAACTGTTTCGTTTTATACTTCATCGCATTGTTGTTATTGCGTTTATTGATCGTATATGATTTTTTCTTTTAGATGAATACGTTAATGATAAAAACGCAACATGTACTGAAAATATACAGACAATAAACGCAATATATACTAAAAAATATTGTGATGCCCTCCTATACAAGATATGGCACTCGTCGTTAAGCCTTGACCTTTTTAATTTTTTATAATTGCCGACGTGGTCAGTTTTGTCATTCATTGTTCTTATTTTTTTTCTCAGTCGAATAAATGGTATGTAAATATACATACTATAAATGTGGTTAGATAAATAGTATGTTACTGAACAAATACAGAATATATACGCAATATATCCTGAACAATATTACAATGCACTCCTGTGCAAGATTTCACCTATATAAAATTCCCCATCAGCCAACAATCAGTGAATATATATAAACTTGCAGCCTTAGAACTGTGAATCCAAGAAAAAAAATAATTTTTCAGGTAACAGTAACAATGAATATCATCTATGTATATATAAAAAAGGCAGAATTTGTCTGCAAACCTCCAACAGTCCGAGCCGTTGTCCGCCTCGTTATTCTTCGACTAGTTAACCCTCCACGCCATTATTCCAATATGAAAGTTTGGTCTTGCCATGGATATTTTTGCCTGAAGACTATGGCTTGCAGTTACGGAGGGTATATTATGTTGAATTAGTCGGTAGTTAATGAGGTATGGGAGAGAGAGAAAGAAACAATTTAATTACCATGCAAATAGGAATCAATTTTTATGAAAAACTGTCAATTTCCCCAATTCACGCTAATTGGTGAAGCTAATCCGTTTTAATAATTTTTCTGGCATATGTGCAAATAAATTTAGCAACTCTTACTTATTTTGATAATAATTATATGAGGGGTGTA